ATTCTACCAAAAAGTTAGGTAACTGCTTTGGATACCTCACTATGCTGAATACCATTTCCTTAAGGAAGCCACAGGAGACACCATCTGTTCATTCACACATGAGAGCTCCAGATTTTGGGCATTGCGGTTTTAAGTAAAATGCAGTTTAGGTTGTCAAGATTTTCTAGTACTATAGGCCATGTTTCACTTTATTTTTTTATTTGTAAATCTTCTAAGAAAATATAGGGGCTTTGCACTCCCTGCTTCTGGAGGGTGTTCATGAAATAGTGTGTTTGTGGTTTTCTTATGGTGAGCAAAATTTCCTAACTTCCCTTTTACCCACCATCTCATCCTGGACTTGGGCTTGGCTCTGCGAACTTCTACTGAACAGAATGTTTTCCTTCTATGGCTTTGCCTCCAGAGGGTCTTGACTATTCTCTCCTCTGCCACAAAAGCCCACTGGGTTCTTTCTTATTTTGTTCTCATTCACTTACAAGTCTCACAATGGAAACAAGCACTTCCCATTGCTCATTCTTCCTTTTATTTTTATTTCTAGTATAACATTTCTTTTCCTGATTGAGATATAATATATATGCAATAAAGTACACAAATTTCAGATGAATGGCTCAGTGATTTTTGCATACACACACACACACACACCACACACTTGTGCAAGAATCATTCTGATTAAGACATGGAACATTCTAGCACCCAGCCTCCTGCATGCCTCCAGTCCAGCAGTGCTTTCCATCAAAGGTAATAGTTATTCTCAATTTGGTTTTAATTGCTTTTGAGCTTCATGTAAATGGAATCATACAGCATGTACAGTTTTATGTCTCATTTTTCAAGCTTTTCTACTGGGAATTCACCCTCTTCTTTGAAATATAATGGGCACTGAACATGTATTCAGTAAAATGAATGTACAAAGGCTCCATGTATGAAGCTGAATTTTAAAAGAACATCTATTTAAAAGAAAAGACTTCCAGGGCCAGAAACAGATGTTCTCTAATAAGAAAAGTGAAGCCATCAGCGAAACCATTGCTCATAGGTAACTTTTTTAAAAAGAAAACTATGAAAGGCATTCCTCAGTCCTATGCCCACCTCCCTGCCGCCCCCAATGAGGGAATTGCATCATTTCTGCTAAGCGGTTCACATCGGCCTTTTTTTTAATTATTATTTTCAAAGAAGTGCCTGGTACCACAGAAGTACACGGCTGTGAAGTCAGATGCTGGCTCTGAGTTAGTCTGTGTTGCTATTGCCATGAGGGTGGCAGAGGGGATTCAGGTAAACCTGATCAAGACACTTCCTACTTGTGTGTGCTTGGGGAGTTATTCAGCATTTCAGCCTTAGTTTGCTAATCCATAAAAAAAGTTGAGTGGATTAAAGGAAATAATAGCTGTACATGTACACTAAACTGTAAAGCATGAAATAAAGATTAGTTTATAAGCGAGTTGTGATGATTTATTTTGATGTGTCAACTTGGCCAGGCCATAGTGCCCAGATATTTGGTCAAAATTATTCTGGGTGTTTTTGTGAAGGCATTTTTAAAATAAGATGAACATTTATTTTCATTATTCCAAGGCAGACTTGGAATAAATCAGATTGCCTACCATGATGTAGGTGGGCCTCATCCAATCAGTTGAATGTCTTCATAGAACAAAGACTGACCTCCATTGAGCAAGAAAGAATTCTGCCAGCAGATGAACCTCAGACTAGAACTGCAAATCTTCCTTGGATCTTCAGGCTGCCAGCCTACCCTGAAATTTTTGAACTTCTCTCTCTCTCTCTCTGTATGTATACACACACACACACACACACACACACACACACACACACACACGTACACACATTTACATGCACCTATCCTTGGTTCTGTGGTTTATTTTCTCTGGAGAAACTAATGCACTAGTTTCTCGTTTTTCGTTTAGTTGATTCTAATGTTTTCTTATTTATTTTGTCTCCTCTTTTATTTCAGATGCTATCTAGCTTATTGCTTTTTTTTCTGAATGACTAAAAAACATATTGGGATTATATGTTTCTTTTTTCTATTGTTATTAAAGTTATTTCAAGTAATAATTTTTCTTTCCATTGTTTTCTTGGCCATCACCCATGGAGGGGTAGCTTTTTGCAGACACACATGTGTTGCACTCAGCATTAAGTTGTTAATGACATTTGGTGATGTCACTTCTTACCAGCCTCTGGGTTTTCATGGATGCCATCCTTGTTGGTCATACATCTAGACCTACTAATTTGCCATTGGGCACATCCCATCCCCGGGACACCAGTGTCACGTTTAAATTTCCCTGGAAGTTTCAGTTGTCCTGAAACTGAGTGAACCCAGCTTCGTCTGATACCCAGAATCCTCCTTCCTTTCCACTGTACTGAACTGATAGTATGAAAATAAAGACATTGCCTGACATCTCTTTGGTTCTCTCCTAAGACTAAATTTCACTCCAGACTTTTTTTTCCCCATAGTCTCTTTCTGTTTTACCTTTCTTGATCATCTCAATCTGAGGGCTTCCCCAGCAAAGGGTGAACCCAGTCTCATCTTTCTATTCTATAGTGCCTGTGGAAAGGGAACTGATGGGATTTGAGGGAGAAGTTTTATCCTTTTCCCTTATGGTGAAAGTCTCACCCCATAAGATGGCCAGTTGTGTGTCACAAAGTAGGTCAGGATGCCATCAAACAAAAGGAAGTGAGGCCATTGTGGTCTGTGTTTTTGTCATAGAAAATCTTGTTGATGATCTTGGATGGCTTCACTGACACATAATTAAGTACGGATTTTCAAAAGTTCCCATGTGATTGGATATCTTTTCTATAGCTCTGTTATTTTCATTTCATTTTGTTAAATCATGGCTTGAGAATATGATCAGAATTCCAGTTTATATTATTAAGTTTATCTCAGACTGCATTAATCTCTCTTTTTCCTTCTCATTTTTTTTGTCTTCCTCTTTTTCCTCCATCCTATGCTTTTCTTCTTTCTTATTTTTTTTTTTTGAGGCGGAGTTTCACTCTTGTTACCCAGGCTGGAGTACAATGGCGCAATCTCGGCTCACCGCAACCTCCGCCTCCTGGGTTCAGGCAATTCTCCTGCCTCAGCCTCCTGAGTAGCTGGGATTACAGGCACGCGCCACCATGCCCAGATAAGTTTTTGTATTTTTAGTAGAGACGGGGTTTCACCATGTTGACCAGCATGGTCTCAATCTCTTGACCTCGTGATCCACCCGCCTCGGGCTTTTCTTCTTTTAAAGCAGTTATGGTGGGATCAAGGACCATTTCCCAGATTTTAAATGTAGCTTTTCCTGACATTTATCAAATCTATACAAATACTTTTTCTTTTCTCTCTCTCTTCTTGGTGACTGGAGGAAGAAGTTTTCAGGGCTTTGCTTCCTACATTGGCCTGATATCTATAGATTTTTGAGACAAGCTGATCTAAGCCATTTGGTCAAGTATCAATGGCATAAATGGCATTATTTGTGTTGTGCCCTCGGGTGGTGACTTATCCTCTCCATACTTCACTTTTATCATTGTAAAGAAGGAGGAAAGAATATGCATCCTTCGACAGGGTTGTGGTGAGAATTATAATCATTCTTTAATGGTTCATTACATTATTAGCTTTGAAACTGACAGATATGTAACATATATGCTTTAGTGAATATCACATATTTTCTTTAAAAGAACAGAAAAGTGTTTATGCGGTACTTGGTATGCTCTGAATACATTAGGTGTTCTATAAGTGGTAGCTACTATTGTGGTTATTACAAGTTTGAATCATGAGCCTATATATGAGAAGAAATGTTGAAACAAGCATTTTAAAAAAATGATCCTGTGATCATTTACATTAGATCACAGGATACCCAAAGATGCATAAATAGCAACTTCCCAGCCCAGTGAGCTTAGAGTTTAGCTGTGGCAGCACATAAACACAGCTGGCAAACCAGAGCATATCCAGTCTGTACTCCAGTGCTTCCCAAACTCTTATGCCACAGTACACAGAGAAAATAAGAATGTTTGTCCAGTGTAATAGAGCAGGTGGGAGGGGAGCTTGGGGGTGTCTGTTTATATAGGGCTTGATTTTTTTAATCACTATTTTTTTCTTTATATGATGTAATTACAACAAAACACAGTGTTTTAAAATTTTTATTAAATGTTAATTTTTTTTTTTTTTACAGAGTTTCACTCTTGTTACCCAGGCTGGAGTGCAATGGCATGATCTTGGCTCACTGCAACCTCTGCTTTCTGGGTTCAGGCAATTCTCCTGCCTCAGCCTCCTGAGTAGCTGGGATTACAGGCACGCGCCACCGTGCCCAGCTAATTTTTTGTATTTTTAGTAGAGATGGGGTTTCACCATGTTGACCAGGATGATCTCGATCTCTTGACCTCGTGATCCACCCTCCTTGGCCTCCCAAAGTGCTGGGATTACAGGTGTGAGCCACTGTGCCCGGCCTAAATGTTAAATTTATATAAAACTTCCCAATGAATAGTTTTAAATTTTTTCATGAGAAATTAGGCTTGCTTTTGTTAACATAAATTTATTTATTTATTTATTTATTAAATTTATATTTATTTTACTTTAGGTGCATACTATACCTGGCATTTCTCCCCATGTTATCCCTCCCCATCCCCCTTCCCACCCCCAGCTGTCTCTCCCCTACGCCCCCCAACTGCCCCCAGTGTGTGATGCTCCTCTCCCTGAGTCCACATGTTCTCGTTGTTCAACATCCACCTATGAGTGAGAACATACGGTGTTTGGCTTTCTGTTCTTGTGTCAGTTTGCTGAGAATGACGGTAACATAAATTTTTAAAATATGGTTTTTTCTGCTTAAAATGACTGTAAATAATCTCTGACCATGATCTTTTAATGATGGTATCTTCAAATTCTTAATCCTAGACCAGAAGCCTTTCAGAGATGATTAAAATGTTTAATAATTTTTATAACAATTCAAAATTTTCTACAGTTGAAATTATATTTAAGAAACCTGATAGCACTTCCTTTTTATTGGTAAATATTGGCTTGTTTGTAAAAATAAAAATGGATTTCAAATCCAGCTGAACTTTTTTAATGTAAAGGTTTCAGAATAATGACGATGCTCTAATTTGTATAATACACATTCTTAGAGAAGACACTCTTTAACCAGCTAGTAAACTACTAAAAATCTCATCATCCACAAGTGAAAGGAGATATCTAATATCTGTGGAATGGGAACTTGGGGCTGCTACTTGGAGCTCTATCCATCACAGTGGATCCAGGGTTGGGCCTCCGCGGGTCGTCCCTACCTAATTGACTACACCTGGGACTATTCCCGGCTCCTTGAACATCTAGAACGGCATCTCCTCCAGCAGCTAGCTCCATGTGTCCTTGCCCATGGGACAGCCATCTCACACATCCATGGCTGGGGACTGAACATAACCCACAGCCCCATGGGTTTGCACACTGCAGATGGCTCATTAAAAGTTACCATGGCAAGGACTGTTGTAGTGCCTTTGATTATATATGTCTTTATCTGCACAATGGATTATAGTTTCATAGAAGTTGGGACATACCTAAATAAGTGTGCCATCCATAAGCATGCCTGCCATTTATATATATGAAATAGTAGGATATATGTTTTCAAGCTACTGATATGGAGGCCAGAACTTTGAAGATTGGTGGTGAGGGAGGCGACTTAAGAGAGTATCAATTTGAAACTGCTTATTTTACAAATGATCTCATTTGGGATGTGATCCAGAAACAAAGAGGGGTTTCCTTCTGGTCAAATAGAGAATATGGGTGGATCCATGTAACCCCACACCTCCTTCCAATGCAGATAAGTCAGATCCCATGACCTCCAACAGCAGACAGAGCCCCCTCCCTTGAGAACCAGAGCTGCCAGAGAACACATGCTTCTGGGGCCCCAGGCTTCTCGCCCTCTTGCCCTGTGTCATGTTCTCATCAATCATCATTTTTGGTCCTTCATTTTATTTCTTTGGAATTTAGAATTGATTCTTTAATAATTCTTTAGAATTTAGAATTTAGGACTAACAATATTGGCATTTTAGAGGAGGAGCTAGACTTTCCTTTGGAATAAAACAAGTATACTATTTGGTATAACAAAAATAAAGGGCTGAGCTATTATGGGGGTGACAGGCCCTACTCTGAAGTCTTAGATTTAGATTAGGGTTATATTTTCTGTGGCTGAGTAGGTAAAGTCCCCACATGTACTTGTAGTATGTATCCTTTTAGTGCCTTCTAAGGCCCTTGATGGATTCAATATAGATTTCCTTGGAGAGAGTATAGCTTAGTAGTTAGGAAGTGGGGAGTGGGTTCAAGTTTTCTGGCTTTAAATCCCCGCTTTACCATATCCTAAATGACCCTGGGAAAATAACGTAATCTCTAGGTCTCAGTCTTATCATCCATAAAATGTAAACAACTTGCATTAGTTCTTTACTCTGTATTACAGTATCAACTTTGGCACCATTGACATTTGGGGACAGATAATTCCTTGCTGCACAGGGTTGACCTGCGCGTTGTAGAACGTTTAATAGCATTTCAGCCTCTACACACTAGAAACAGTAGTCCTGCATCCCCTAGTTGTGAGAATGTAAACTGTTTTTAGACATTGCTGAATGTTTTCTGAGAGGCAAAATTGCTCCCGGTTGAGAACGGCTACTCTACATAGTAAATGAGAAATTTATAAAGCACATGCATAGCACATAGCATTGTGGGGATTACCTGGGTTCAGATCCATGTCCTTCATTTGTAGGCTGGATGACCTCAGAAAAGCCACTTAAACTCTCTGAGCATAATTTCTTCATTCAAAACAGATATCATCAGCCCTACTGGGTCTACCTACCTCATTAAACAACTGGAAAAACCAAAGGAAATCTCTAATATAACAATGCCATGGAAGCCATTGAGAACTATCTATAATTGTCAGGATACCCTGTTACTGCCTGGTGAATAGTTTGGTAGTGAGGCTGCGTGGCTAAACCGCCCCTCTAATGTTCAAAGTGATTTGCAACATTCAAGTGCTCAATACATTTTAGCTTCTGTTGTTATTGTCTCCATTCTACAGTGAAGAACCTGAGACTCAGGAAGGTAAAGGAACTTGCCCAATATTGCACAGCATGATGCCTTGAGACAGAATTTAATTCAGACCATGTAATTCCAAAGTTGGTGCTATGTTCAATACATTCTTGTTTCCCAGTGAACATGAATGCCGTTATTAGAAATGAAAGCAACCCCTTCTGTTAGCAAAGGGAGTTGCCACTTATAAAAGAGATCTCCATCTTTTGGTAAGGGTTGGAAAAAGCACTACAGAACAACGGAGGATAAGATAATTTAGGTATTTTTCTCCTGATTTTAATTCAGAAAAGGTATCTCCTTAGGGGCTTGAAGATAGTTGAAAATGAAAGGGCAGAGCCAACCCCACCTGCATGCTATGAATCATTTATTCACTTAAAGGGTTGAGTTGTACCTTCCACATCTGAGCGGTTTTAGTTTTAACTTTGAGAGCCTTGGTTATTCCAGCTTCCTAGGGAAAACCCCTCCGGCACTTGCAGCCTCACTGGAGTCCTGGCTGTCATTTTGAACATCTAGCAGTCAAAAGGTAAATACAGAGGCTACTGCTCCTCTTATCTGGCTACCCTGAAGGCAAGTTCCTGATCCCTAAAATCCTATGGCCTGAACTCAGTAGCAACCATCATCTCACCCACTACTTCCAAACATACTCAGTTCAGTTGCTCTCTAGAGAGAATTTCTCCCTCTGTTCTTGTCTGGCTTTGGAAATTGCATTGAGCCAAGGGTGCCTTCTGGAACTCCTAATCTGTGGCTACATGATCATTGGAAGAGCAGCCTGCCCAGGGTGTAGCATTACATCCAACCATGCACCTCTGCTCTCCTAAGTGCCCTCAGGACACAGAATTCCAGGATTCCAGGTAGCTGGACGGGGAACGCAGCACATGAAGCTCAGCAGCAGTCAGAAGATAAGCAGTTTCAAATTGATACTCTCTAAGTCCCCTCCTCAGTCACCAATCTCAGTTCCAGCAGAGATGCAGCCACATGGAAAAAGAAAAATGTTTTGTTAGCTTCGGCACAGTGGCCTCCAGGAGGATGCTTGGCAAAGTCCCAAGTCCGAAGCATCAGTCTTAAGAGTAGGAGAGGGCCGGGCACGGTGGCTCACGCCTATAATCCCAGCACTTTGGGAGGCCGAGGTGGGTCGATCATGAGGTCAAGAGATTGAGACCATCCTGGTCAACATAGTGAAACCCCCATCTCTACTAAAAAACAAAAGTTACCTGGGCATGGTGGTTCACGTCTGTAGTCCCAGCTACTCAGGAGGCTGAGCAGGAGAATTGCTTGAACCCAGGAGGCGGAGGTTGCGGTGAGCCGAGATCGTGCCATTGCACTCCAGTCTGGGTAACAGCAGTGAAACTCCATCTCAAAAAAAAAAAAAAAAGAGTAGGAGGAAGCTAGATTTGGGATGTATCAGCTGTCTGACCATCTACTAACCCTTAGGAAAAATGAGGTTTTTCATTCCATTTGATGAAACATATGCAAAAAGAAGAGGAATTTAACCTCTAACTCTATGCAATTAGGTAATACTACTGTACTCAGTTGAGGTGAGAGTGCACAGGCATGGGGCATCACCCAGCACATGGTGGGGCACGGTGTTTGGCTCTTTTTCTTCTCTCCTTTTTTCTGTTTTTGAGACAGTCTCACTGTCCCACTCGGGCTGGAATGTAGTAACACGAGCAAGCTTCCTGCAGCTTTGATCTCCCAGTAGTTCAAAGATGGTGCACACCATCAAAATCAATTGTTTTGCTTTTTAGTAGAAATGAGGTCTCACTATATTGCCCAGGCTGGTCTTGAACTCCTGAGCTCAAGCAATCCTCCCGCCTCAGCCTCCCAAAATACTGGGGTTACAGGTATGAGCCACTGTGCCTGGTTAGCTGGTGGTGTTACTCTTTGTTGAGCAGCAACTACATGCCAGTGTTCCGGGCCCAGGCCCAGGCCCAGGCCCAGATGGTCATTACCGTGCACGCTGTAATGCAGCAAGTATGGAATTTGCAACCGACACCCAGATCTTCCTATAGTTCCTCTTCTTACCAGCATGTAATCCTAGGCAAGTCATTTTCCTTCTCTGTATCCCTATCTCCTCACCCTGAAACAAGGAGAGATGTATAAGACTCATTGAGATTATATACCTCATGCAGTCCTGGCACAGGATACAAGTTAATGTATTCATTATTTCCTTCTTCCTTTCCATACGTCTGCATAATTTATGTGTCTTAAGTACGCCAGACAGCTTAGAGATGGGAACTTTTGAAACTCTTCTGATCTAGTGCAAATGCTCTGGGGATGGCGAGGACCTGGAGAAATCCTGATGCAGAGTAAATCAGGTTGGAGAGAGATTTTTTTTTTTTTTTTTTTTTGAGACAGAGTCTTGCTCTGTCACCAGGCGCCAGGCTGGAGTACCGTGGCGCAATCTCAGCTCACTGCAATCTCCACCTCCTGGATTCAAGCAATTCTCTTGCCTCAGCCTCCCCAGTAGCTAGGACTACAGGTGCACGCCACAATGCCCAGCTAATTTTTTTGTATTTTTTAGTAGACGGGGTTTCATCATGTTGGCCAGGATGGTCTCAATCTCTTGACCTTGTGATCTGCCCACCTCGGCCTCCCAAAGTGTTAGGATTAGAGGCGTGAGCCACTGCGCCCAGCTGGAGAGAGATTTTTAAAAGACATTGCTATTGCTTAGGTGAGGAAGACAGAAGGCTTTGGAGGAATCAAAGATGACTCCTAGGTTTCTGGCTTGAACAATTGGGAAGAAGTTTTGTCAAATGCTAGGGAAAAATTCTTCTCTTTTTCTCCTGTCTTAGTCAGTTTGGGGTGCCATAAAAATACTATCAAAATTTATTTTCTCACAATTCTGGAGCTTGAAAGTCCATTAAGGTGTCAACGTTATTGGTTTCTGGGTGAGGGCTCTCCTGGCTTACAGGCAGCCACCTGCTCCCTGTGTGCTCACATAGCCTTTTCTCAGTGCTTACACTTGGGAGAGAGTGAGCAAACTCTCTGGTGTCTCTTATTAAAAGAGCCTTAATCCCATTGGACCAGGACCGCACCCTCATGACTTCGTCTCATCCTAATCATTTTCAAAAGGTTGCATCTCCAAATATCATTAATTAGGGATTAAAGCTTCCACAAATGACTTTTGAGAGAACACGAACATTCGATTCCTAACATCTCCTGATTAGTAAGAGAGATAATGATGCCATGTATTCTAGTCATCTCCCTATTCCAATGGCTTGGAGCCTCTTCGATTATTTCAGGAGAGGACTTGCAAGCACATTTGTCTACATTCATTTATCTTTTCTTCTGTAGGAATGATAAAGAGAAGAGGAGCCTTAGTAGGTGAGTTAGAGCTAAGCTGTGAGTTTATAGTGAAGCCTTTTTCTGACACAAGCATAAAAACTAGATCCCTAAGGACTCAATCGATGTGAGGCTTTCAACTAAAAACTGGGATGTCAGCTGAATCAGAGACACCCCTGCCCTCAAGGATCTCACTACTTTGAAAATATAGGGAGGATTTTCTTAAGAGGTTAGCTGTTTGGGCTCTGGTCTCGGGTCATGAACATGTTGCCTCTGAATATGAAGGTCCTTAATTGTGACTCCATCACTCTCCTGTCTGGGACTTGTCTGCCTCTACTTCCTCAGGCAGGGGATGGTCTGCTTACCTGACTCCTAAGTGGCTTGTTAGGATGAATCATGTTTCAATTCTCTAAGAGGGTTTATGTGTTGGAAAGAGTATTCTCTTTGATCTCGTGGCTCAGAGTGCATAGGCTTTGTCCAGTTAATCATGTAGCTGGCGTCAGGCTTTGCCAGTTTTTATTTCTTTGAGGCTTTATGACATTTAAAGGGTTGGACACTGGCCCTGTAGCCAACATGGTTTTGACTTCAACAGCAACTGAAGCCTGAATCTTTTCTCCAGCTCTTTGATAATAATTGATTAGTCTAGAAGTCCAAGCAAAGGTGGGACTTTCTAAAGTGGCTTCAGATCTAAGGGGTGATTGAAGGGATGAGTCTTTAATAAGGACGCACTCTCTCTCCTCTCCTCCTGAGTCATTCCCGCATGGTTAAAAGAGCCATCCCAATAAAACTGAGTATACCTTAGTGCTTTCCATTTACAAAGTACATTCATTTCACTATCAATTTAACCTCTCAAATCAGCCTCCAGACGTAGAAAGAGGCAAATGGGCTTAATTTTGCCAGAGAGAAATTCTAACACTCATTAAATGATTTACTCAATGTCATGGGTTCAGAGTTGTGAGAGAAGCTAACATTTATTGAGTGTCTGCTATGTGACAGATTCTTTGTATACCCCAACTTACATAATCTACAACTAACCTGGGATGGGGGGTAGATGTTATTGTGCCCAGTTGAAAGATGAAGATACTGAGTCATGAGACATTTAAGGAGCTATTTCAAAGCCTCCCAGCCCTTAGGTGTTAAGCCAACATCGACTTTCTAGTCTTCTGAGAGTCAGTGTGTTATGCTGTTTAAACTCCTCGTGCTTGACTGTAAGAAGATAATAGTATACTATTTATGCTTAGTCGAATCTGCGGTAAGAAGTGCCACGAAAGCATTGTTCACAATAGCAAAGACTTGGAACCAATCCAAATGCTCATTATGATAGACTGGATAAAGAAAATATGGCACATATACGCCATGGAACACTATGCAGCCATAAAAAAAGGATGAGTTCATGTCCTTTGCAGGGACAGGGATGAAGCTGGGTACCATCCTTCTCAGCAAACTAACACAGGAACAAAAAACCAAACACCACATGTTCTCACTCATAAGTAGAAGCAGAAGAAGGAGAACACATGGACACAGGAAGGGGAACATCATACAGTGTGGTCTGTCAGGGGGTTGGGGGAGAGGGGAGGGACAGCATTAGGAGAAATACCTAATATAGATGACAGGGTGATGGGTGCAGCAAACCACCAAGGCATGTGTATACCTATGTAACAAACCTGCACATTCTGCACATGTACTTCAGAACTTAAAGTATAATAATAATAATAATAATAATTATAAAAGAAGTATCACAAAAGGAAAAGAGGCCCATGTCCCTGCTTTATAGAGAGATTTGGAAATTTGGTTTCCTTTACATATAAAATGAAAGAAGACACAGAGACATGGACCAGCTGCTATATGTGCTTCTCTCTGAAGTCTGAGTCGAGATTCCCTAAGCTTGACTGTACCGCTCAAGACCTCCAGCCAGGGCAGCAGCCCCTCTGCAAAAAAAAGCCACCTTTAACCCGCTCATTCATTTGCTTCTTCCTGCACACTCTGTGGTCTGGCAAGGAGCAGAGGTCCTCAGCAGCGAAGCCCTCACAACAGCAATCCTTCTCAGTTCCCACTTTGAGAGAACCCAGCTCAACTTCTCAGGCTGAAAGAAATTTTAATCCAAATGAACTAATAGAGAATTTGCTAAGTCCAAGGACAGGCAGTCTCAAGGTCACTGGACAGGAAGAGAAACCTCTAAAAACTGAAAGAATGAAACAAAGTCTTTCCCCTCGGCAGGGGCTGGCCTCCCTTCCTGACACTTCCTCTTGGGACCTGTGAATGTTTGCCCAGGGTTATTGGCGATGTCATCAAGTCTCAGCTGATTGACAGTGAAAGGGAGAAGACTAGAGCTACTGCAGGCCAGGAACGCACATGCTGGATCTCATTTCATCTCCATCTAACTCCTATGTGAAGTGGGCTGTTGGAGCCCCTTTTGTGCAGTTGAGGAAGGCTCTAAAACATGCAGTACTTTGTCTATGGTACCTGGCTAAACTTGCATTTGAACCTGAATCTGGTTAGCTACCAAACCTGTGCTTCTTCTACCACCCCACACTGCCCATAGACACACACAAAGTGCTTTCTAAGGCTCCGAATACTTATCCTATTCCATTATCAGGCTCAACCCTTCATCCCTCACTAGACCCATCAAGAGGGCTTATAAATCGTAGGTGCCCAATAATCACTCGTTTTTACTAAATTCGATGTTTAAATGCACACATACCCAGTAGTTGGTTCTGCCCAAAGACCAAAACCCACTGGCTGTGGGTAGTACTTTGTTTTACCCCAGGATAGGTAGTGGGTAGTCTGATTCTCCCCAGGATAGGTAGTGGGTAGCTTTTCTACCTATTCTCTTGGGTAGTGGGACTATCATTTAAGCAGTGAACTTTTCTATTCTAACAAAGCTCTAATCAGAGGTGGAAAGGGAAGTTAGGTTATCTGGGGCAGGTTATACAGGTCGGTGATTCTTTGGACTCCACAAATTCGCAAATCCATGTTTCAGGCTCTGTTTTCAATCTTCAGGCATTGTAGGCGTCTCCTGGGGCTGTGAGAAGAATGCTCTAATTTCAGGACAGGGTGGAGCCTAGAGCCAACTTGGCAAGGGCCAGAGGAATATAAATTCACAGTGACAACTTAAGGAACATGGTTTTAATAGAAATATACTTTTATTTCTTCTGCGATCACATGCCAACTGTCTGTTTGCATGGGGAGCCCCAGGCTCAAATGAGAGTTGTCAGAATTGGTAATTGAGGGGCTCTGCTATCCCCCAAAAGCTCCCTGGTCCTCCAGATGACAACTGTGAGAGATAGCTTGGGTGCTTGGAAACTTTGTGAAGTCAACATTACAGAGAAATCAGAACAAATGTAGGTATGATTTACTATGTGCCAAGGGGGAAATTCTGGCACAATTCATTAAGAAAATGTTAAGAAATCCCTGGACTGTTGGACATATAGGAAGTGGCAAGGTTTCAAAGGTGAGTAAGATATCTTCTCAAGAAGCTTGTTCAATGGAGAAGACAGAGCTGTAAAGACTACACTTGACGTTGGTTAAAGGGAACAAAATACATTAGATAGAAGGAACAAGTTCTAGTATTTGATAGTACAATAGGGAAATTAGAGTTAATAATAATTTATTGTATATTTCAAAAGAGCTAAGAGAGAAGAACTGTAATGGTCCCAACACAAAGAAAAGATAGATGTTTGAGGTGATGGGTATCCCAGTTACCCTGATTTGACTGTTATACATTGGATACATGTACCAATATATCATGTGTATCCCCCAAATATATATACCTATGATATATTAATTTTTAAAGCC